AGCACCCAGAGTCAGGACGTGTTTGTTTTTGCAATTTTTTTCTTAGAAGTTTTATAGCTATCCTTTGAGGAAAACTTTTGGAAAAATACTCAAGGTACAACCCAATAATTTACAAATTGGAATAAGATAATTGTATTTTCGGAAGTCTAACGATACCAAATTAAAGTTAAATGATTTGGACAAAGGTATTCTTTTCAAAACTATCTTGTCAACTTTTTTGGTTTTCTGTGTCTATGGCGATCTGTACATGTAAAGACCGATCAGCCAAGCTCTGTGCTCTGTATTTAAAAACTGCACAGAATTTCAGCACCTGATAAACTGCACAGAATTTCAGCACCAGTTTTTAGAAAAAACTGAATCATATGTACTTCCTAAAAAATCTAATTATATGAAATGATAACCCGTAAATCTCACTTTTTGTATGTCTAAAAATCAATACTATCTTTAACTTTTTAACTTTATCTCCAGCTTTCTTCATTCTTTGACACTTCTAGAAAGTCTAATTATTTTGGCTGGGAGAATAGACAGGAGCACGTCTTAATTTGTTTAGGGGCAAATAGGATGGAAGGAGTTCATTATGCAGGTAGAGACAACAGTGGTAAAACCTTTGGAAAGAATTAAAATTGACTGAGAATATAGACAGAGGGAAGAGAAGGAAACAGGTTTTTAAATATCTTTAATTCTTTATGTTCTTCAAGCACAGAGTCTTTAAGGAAGTTTCACATCCATTGTCTCATCTTTCTAAGCAGGTGAAGTCATTTAGTAGTAGACCTGGGACAAGAGCCTGTTTGATTTCTTGGCCAGTCCTTTCTCTGTCCTATCACATTCTTAAACTAGTTTCTGATTCAAGAAAATAAAAGGAATAGAATGGGAAAGATAAGAATGATTTAAAAACGTTCTCTGGGGAGAATCTGGGATTAGAGGCAGTAAGACTATTTAACTTTTATGACATACCAGAGAAGTTTTCAAGTTTTCTAATGTCTTAATATAGTAGTTAGACAATACTGGTTTCTCTTTTAGTAGCTGCATGAAAAGGAATTTTAAATGAGGTGTTCTGGAAACTAAAAGATGGCCAGTCTTTTAGTGTAATGCTAAGTAATATATTGTATGTGACTCTCTTTTCTTAGATCATTTGCATATCTTACGATAAAAGACAGAATACCACAGATCTTAACTAAGGCTATTGACACATTGCATCGGCATAAAAGTGAATTTTTTGAAAAACATGGAGAGGTAAGAGTTGTGTTTTAACTTTAAGTTTTTGTTAACTCTTCAACAGAAACACAATAAGTAGTTACTGCAGGTTTTAATTTTCATGTAAAATATAAAAATACATGAGCCAAATATTTATCTAGTTGTAATGTAATATGTTGAAATGAAGTATAATCATGAGGTTGTCAAGGATAGAACAGGCAGTCTCCAATTTAGAAAAGAATTATATTCCAACAATTTATTTTGTCATTTATTTAGACCTCAGAACATGTTTTTGAATAGATACAGTGTTGTAAGTGGTGACTATGTTGCTGACTTGCTCAGAAAAGCATTTTTAATTTCAAATTGTGCTGAATTGCAGTATTTATATTATTAATTTGAGGTCTTGGGTCCTGGAAACTCAGGCTGCTATGCAAATACTAATTAAAGATGTGAATGACTCATTAGCATTCAGAGCAGGATAGGACTTTGGAAATCTCCTTGTCCATTCAATTAGTGGAAAAATTCAAATAACTATACTACTGTAAATATAGGTCTTTAAACATGCAAGTCCAGCAATCTTTCTGTTACAGAATAGACTATAAAAGACCATTCATACACCAGTACACTTTTTAAAAAAAAGTTGACAGCAAAGATTTAGAGAAATGGATGGTGGTCTTCTTGGCTGGACTGAAATGGAGCAAGAAAGCACATAGGCGATTTGAGACTAATGTTGCATTTCTTTTTTATTTTTTAAAAGATGACTGGTAATGGAATCTTAACCCTTGACTTGGTGTTGTCAGCACCATGTTCTCCCAAGTGAGCTAACCGGCCATCCCTATGTAGGGATCCAAACCCGTGGCCTTGGTGTTATCAGCATCACACTCTCCCAAGTGAGCCATGGGCCAGCCCTGTAATGTTGCATTTCTTTCAGCTGCTTTTGTATTGTCTTTGATACGAATCCTGACGTAATACAGGATCACCTATTGTTCTTCATTGCTGAGATCCATCTTATTTTGACACTGACATTTCCGTTGATGCATGGTTTCAATGTTTATCATGTAAACATGAGTTTGTTTTGATGAATGCACACCTTTATCACATAAATGTAATTTAGCCAAATTTGGGTAGTTCACTTGAGTATTTGGTCATATACCTAAGCAAATTACCATAGTACTTTTATAGTTTCAATTTTTTTGACTGGAGTGATCTTAAATGCAATAATTAATCAAGTCTTAGCATCTTGCTACTTGGCCTGCGTGCTCACAATCATCAAGTGACCTGCTGGCCAAGAGTGGGAAAGCAGGGTCTACTGTCCCTCCAGCCCTACCCCATTTCACACTCTCCTGGGTACAGGACAAGACCTATATAAAGTGTTAACATTTGAATAATCAGGTGAAGTTAAAGAATTTAGGGTAAAGATTTGGAAAAGGGGGTGTTCCTCATAAGAAAGTCAGCCGCGTTGGGACTCGCAGGCTCAGCTCCTAAAACTGTATTTTTTCAATTTCTTTTCTTCTATTTCTGAATCTGCACAGTCTCTAAAGCTTCAGCCTTTCATTCTAGCAACAGAAGAGTCTACATAAAAAAAAAAGACTGGAGAGATGTCTGTATTGAGAAAATTATAGGTTTGAAAGTAGGAACTAAATTCTCTTAATATTAACATGGTAATAATGATTTTATTTATTCTATATGTGGCTTATTAGGCCTAAATTTTCTTTCTTTCTTTTTTTTTTTTAAACGGGGTAGGACTCTTGCTGGTATAAAACTGATGGTGCCATGTCATTTTCACTTTATTCTGATCCCATGACTTTTGTCCACTCTCCAGTTGTCCTTTTATGTGAAATAATACTATAGCACCTTGTTTGTCTTAGTATCTCTCACTTGTCTGGAACTCAGTGAAAAACAAGGAATAAAAAGACCCTCTGAACTGCCAAAAGAAACTTCAGGAAGATCAGAGTTCCTTTTCCAGAAGTTTCTCTTGTGAGAGAATACATTTGGAAGCATGAAAGATGTGAAAGTCTGGCAGTGGTTCCTTTTCCTCTGCGGTAATGGTTATCCCACCTGAAGATACAGAAAGGCCAGAACTTTTTTTTTTTTAAAAAAAGGAAGGGTACATAAGGCATCATTACGTTAATATGAAATCTCTGTGTGTTCTTTGATTTTCACCTTAAGAATTCAAATTTAAATGTTGAGAATAGCTTGTGAAAGACATAAAATGTAGTTTTGAAATACGGTATTTTTCTTTCCTTCTTAAGTTCAGGTCCTTAAAAATGTGTTACTATAGAGGAATTATGCACACACACACACACACACACACAGAGTGTATTTTTTTTCGTATTTCGGCAGGAAGGCATGGAAGCTGAAAAGAAAGCGATTTCTCTTCTTTCAAAATTACGGAATGAGTTGCAAACAGATAAACCAATTATCCCCTTGGTTGAGAAATTTGTTGACACTGACATATGGAATCAGTACCTAGAATATCAGCAGAGTCTTTTGAATGAAACTGATGGAAAACCAAGGTGGTTCCACTCACCGTGGTTGTTTGTAGAATGCTACATGTACCGTAGAATTCACGAAGCGATTATCCAGAGGTAAGTATATAACCATCAAATAGCAAAAGTTTAGATAATTTATGCTTTTTGAAATTGTAAAAGGATATGTTTTTTTAAAAGCCTGAATTCAACCTTCCACCACCTTCCGCCATCGAGAGTCGCGCCTGGGTCACAACCCCGTCCTCCCTTCAGAACCGCGGAGAAAGGAAGTGCGCGCCTCTGCCAGAGTTCCTAGTTCGGATCCATCATGCCCCTCGACTTTGATGTGTTGACTAGGGATGAACTGCGCAAAAAGCTGTACCAGACGTTTAAGGATCGGGGTATACTGGATGCTCTCAAGACCCAGCTCAGAAAGCAGCTGATACATGAATTGATGCACCCTGCATTGTGTGGAGAACTACAACCTCAGTCCCTTTCAGTGGAAGGGAGCGCCCTCTTAATAGGTGCCTCTAACTCTCTAGTGGCAGATCACTTACAAAGATGTGGCTATGAATATTCACTTTCTGTTTTCTTTCCGGAAAGTGGTTTGGAAAAAGAAAAGGTATTTACTATGCAGGATCTATTACAACTCATTAAAATCAACCCTTCATCCAGTCTCTACAAATCACTGATTTCAGGATTTGACAAAGAAAACCAAAAAGGTTTTCTTATGCAGTTTTTAAGAGAATTGGCAGAATACCATCAGGCTAAGGAGAGTTGTGATATGGAAACTCAGACAAGCTCAACATTTCCTAGCAAAGACTCTCTTGCTGAGAAGCTTCAGCTTATTGATGATCAGTTTGCAGATGCTTACCCTCAGTGTCCAAAGTTACAGTCTTTAGAAATAAAGTTAAACGAATATAAGAGAGAAATAGAACAGCAGCTTCAGGCAGAAATGTGTCAAAAGTTGAACTATTTTAAAGATACTGAAATAGCAAAAATTAAAATGGAAGGGAAAAGAAAGTA